TATTTTCTGCCTTCTATTATTTTTATAGCAAGGTATCATCATTCTAGAAAGATGTCAATATCGACGTCGAAACAATGGTTAGTGGCAATGCGATACCATCTAGACAAAACTATTTACCGCCACTCTCGAGAACGTCATGCAAACACTGGAATGGTAATAGATGGTGTGAAAATCGATGGACGACAATTACATCATCTTCGCATTGCTAATGATAACGTTTTTAAAACACCAAACATTAGCCAGGCACAAGAATGCTTGCCGACTTTGATAACGCCTGTGGGAAAATTGGTGTTCGACTAAATCTCACAAAACGATGTTCATGAGGAACAGATACGGATTGTATACGTATGACCCATTCACTCTCAAAAGAATGAATATCTTCGAATGCACCAATTACGTCTGTCTAGGTCGGAAAAACAACACGATAAACGACTTGAGCAGGAGCAAACGAGCGGCTTGGAGAGACCATCGAGGTGAAGAGGACAAGGAACATTCCACTCCGTGCTCACCTTTTCGACTACGCTATTCTTCCTGCCTTAGTGTATGCTTCAGAAACCTGGTCTCTGCATAAGCAAGAAAAGAGGACACTCTGCTTTGCTGAACGCACAATGGGAAGGACGATGCTTGGAGGATCTTGTGTCACACATCTGAGGGAAGGGGTTCGCAGCTCTGCCGTACGTCAACGAGCAAAGATTAATGATGAAATTCTATACGCCAAACTTTTGAATATGACTCAAAAGACCGACTTTCTATAAACCTCGGCATACATAGTTGACATATTTGTTTATATGATCTTACAAACTGATCTTCTTTAGCTGATGCGAGGTTGGTACAGGACTTCGTTGTCGTTGTTGTTGTTGTTGCTGCTGTTGTTCTTGTTGGTCGATGGCTGACATTTCGGCTGCCTCAGGGCCGTGATGTTACGACTGGGACTCGTTGTTGAATATGAGGCCTGTCGGACAAGTAATGCGTATGAACGACAACCGATGGACAAAAGATTTGTGACTAGATTCCTTGGGATGACAAACGCACAAGACCAGCGATCCGACGGTTAGAGTTCGTCACCAAAACTCTAGAGGAAGGATGTCATGCTCAACGAGTCCCTAGAGCGAACTGAAACCGCTGGGCTACTCTTGCAGGAACAGGGTGAGAAGGAAAATTGACTGACTCGCGCTCGAGTCACTCTACCATCAACAGGAGTACAGGTGATGCAGGTGATGTCGCGTCTATTCCGGTACTTGTTATACTCAGACATTCCATAAAATAACCATAATCTATTACAGGGATTCAGATGAAATAACAGTTAACTGTTAGCCAAATTACAGGTTAATGAACTTTTACAAAAAAGGGCTTTTGGTAAATCATTAACTCTTAAAGGTGGTTTCCCGATCTCACAGCTACTATTTTGATTAGGCTCTGATTAGCTATCGAATGAGTATTCATAATCTGGCAAGAAAAAACATTGAAGCCCACTAAGCTCGATATGGACCCTACAATGTCAGTACAATCGTTTGGTCCAAATCGGGATAGACAGCATAGTGTGCATACGGTCTGAAATGAGTTAAAATAGGGACTTACTTTTCAGTGACTCTGTATTACCGACAATGCGACGACATTGAAATAGGTAGCACAGCTTCTATTTTTGTTGGCTCACTAACTTCATTGGTACGCCAATAATTGCGAATGTTAATCTGCTGGATTTCCTAGCAGCTGCGTCATTTCATAAGTGGCAAAGAAAACAGAACAGTGAGAACGATAACAACTACAGAATTCGAAAGACCGACTTTCTATGAACCTCGGCATAAATAGTTGATATATTTATTTATGTGATCTTATAAACTGATCTTCTTAAGCTGACGCGAGGTTTGTACAGATCTTCGTTGTCGTTGTCGTTGTCGTTGTTTTTGATGTTATTGAACGATGGCTGACGTTTCGGCAACTTCGCCTTCCTCAGAGTCGTGATGTTACGTGCGGGACTACGTGGTCTAGTTTATAAGATCACATAAAAAAAAAACTACAGAATTATTTATAACACGTTCGCCAGAACCTCATCAATGCAGAACCTGATATGAATGCCTTCAGACGTTCTCTATGGCGAAACGAATTGCTCGTCGTTTTCACAGAAAACGATTTCACGAGTTTACTTCGCCGTTTGTTGCCATGCCTTAATGTCAATTTTAATGAACAACAGAAATAGATAACTTCAGCGCGAGGAAAAGCAACAAATGTTTTATCGTCTTAGAAAGCTTTTTCATCGAAGATCATAAGCGGAATGAACTTTTCAGAACTCTATTGTATGTGAACTATTGCAACGATTCTGCAAAAGTGATTTTTGAGTTATACTAGACCTATACCGTACTCTTTGTTAAAGGATGTCGTAAAACGATGAGACATCCAATGCTTTTCTACGCAGAGATAATCCCTTACTGTATTTTGTCGGAAATGAAATTGAATTTGGCAATAAGCGTTTCCGAATCGGTTCACTGAAGTATTTCTTTACAAAAAGGATTCGAAACCCACTTCGTGTGGAGAACGTTGTAAGGCGTGCCTACCAAGTTCTATTATGAACGAAGTCCTGGCGAACGCACTCGTCATTACCTTCTTCGACTACTAAGCAAACACGTGAATGAAAAGATTTATTCGGCTAACGTTTCGACATCTTCGTATTCTTGAGAGCCGGAATGATCCGCACCAATAATGTATAGCGATCGTCTTTTCGCACCGAAAAGTAATGATCACTTTTCCAAATCTCCATAACTTCAGGGTCTTTGCTAAGAATACGGACTTTCTCGGTCAATTTATGCGGACCGAATTAAATCAACATTTTCTTGATTGATTCCACTGTAATAAAATCCTCATGTATTGCTGTCGCTTTTGCTAGAAGAAACCGCACATGAAATAGTTCTGAGTAATTAAGTAAACAGGAAGAGTGCAAAAAACCGGTACTGGAATGTTTGTTGCAGGAAAAACGATTAAAATGGTAATGCGCCCATGGTATCTCCTTCGTTAAAATAACCATTTGAATGCCGAAAAGTTTCTAATGAGATTTCAAGCATTAGCATGGCCCTCAACTGAAATGTTATTAACCGTGGCTTTATTTTCTACTAACATGGATTTTCCGACCGACTACGTGAGATTTCCTATTGAAAGAGCAGAGAGAGTGCTGTGGATGAATTGTTCGTTGCTCTGCAATTCATGTACTCGACGCGGAAATGCCAAAGCAGGGAACTACTTATACAGCTCTACTGAGCATTCATAGGATTCCCACCAAAGAACTAATGGCAATAAGTGTTTTCAATCTTCCGAAAGTCGGCAAATCGCTAACACGTTGAGAACGAGTGGCACCTTCAGTTTATACACTACTTTGAGCAACTGAAGGAAATGTTTCCAATGACCATTTTCGATTCGCTCGAGATGCATCAGACGATAAACAGTTCTTCAAAATCCGATGTCAAGCAATCGTATGCCAAAACACATTCATATAAACTGTAGAATGAGTTCTACTGTTATTCGCTAACGAAAATATTAGATTCCCATTGAATGTAAACATTTTGTTTTAAGCACCGTTTAAAGTAGAGTTATGAAGTAAAACAAAAACTTAGGATGGATTGAACCGACCACTTACTAAAAGAATATAAAATCTCGAACTTCCTAGTAATCATTTACAAAAATTAAACAAAAAAAGAGTAAATCGGTCATGACCCTGCAACCGTTACACAAACCCAATGTGTTTCAAAATAAGGTGCGCGGCAACAAATCTTACTTTGTCCACAGATCAGACAAAAATTGCGACTAATTGACAGTCTTCTTTAAAAATCCAGCTTTCTCAGCAACTTGAAAGGATTAAAAGGCTTGCTAAGGAATTCACAGGCCAGTATCCCCTAATTTTTTTTCAACCACTCTACATGAGTGACAATGAGATGACACTAACAACAGCTCGTATAGATCCCATTTTTGCTGACTCACTAACATAATCAGCACACCAATAATTGCAAATGTTAATCTGGACTTCCTAGCAGCTGCCTGAAGTCATAAACTAAACAGAAAACTAAGGACGATAACAACTAATTGGAAATTCTTTATAATCTTCTTGAGCAAACGCGATGTTATTTCATTCTTTATTCACGAACAAGCTGTCGTTTCGGCGGATTTCGCCTTCTTCAGAGCCTGGAAAGGTCAAGTTGACTGCAATCTACATGACCAAACACTGCCATAACTAAACAAAGAAAACGCTAAACGAAGATTTCAATCACATTGAACACAGCTTTGCAAACTCACCGCTTTCTATGAGGCTTCCAACGAGTATGTCATATGGAGACCAACCCGCACAGAATTCACATGGAAGCATAATGTGCCCTTCCCATCAGAACAAGTCTTATATACTGCTCAATATCACGTATGATAATGAGGCATTCCTCCCTGCGGTTCATTTTTGGATTCTTGGAATTAATCCAGAATGCCTCAAGAGTTTTGCGCGCTTGTGTTCTAGATTCCTGTGCGAGGATCGTAAGCCCTACTTCAAAATCTTCCCCGTTATGTCTCTGCGTCCTATGCGTGCCTAGTGGAGACGGACGCAAAGCGGTCTACCCGTTTCGCCAATGTATTCGTCTCCGCACGCCTTATAGGAGATCAGATAAACTATACCCGAGTTCATGCAATCACCGTCTCTACCATTAGAGCAAAGTATGCAATTTTTGTGTTGCACATAGACGGTCATATAGGCGGTTACGAACTAGCTGGACCCTAAGAGTACTCCGTGGCACTACAACTACGTTTACCGAATTCTCAAGACCCATCCTTCTTAATAAGGAAAGTTGAAGAAGTTTAATAATTGAAAATTGCTTATAAAACTAGATGAATCTCATTTAAACGACAAAAATAGGAAACAATAACCAGAATTGCTAGAACAAACTATTTAAAAACGAAGAAATATCAACTTAGAAACAAATGAATTTAAATTTACAACGTAGCAAAGAATAAAGGCATAAAAAAACTTTTTCTTAAGCATTCACATGCATCTCAACTGGGATACTTTCCAAAGAAGTGAATGTGAACTTCCGAGCTTTTGTGGGGATCGGTAAGGCATCCTCGAGCTCACTTTCGTTCACCTTGTTCTCATCATTCATCTCTGTATCCTTTGGCAGATGAATATTGGTCACTGTAGAAGCCACAGTTGACTGCTGTACTTCATTCTTCTGTCGAATTCTTCTAAACCGCTCCGAAGTCCACTTTAGACAACGATGTGTTCGCTCGGCTTCACGTGCAACTTCGTGGACCTGGATAGCATACGTTTATGATTTCTAAGCAGCTTTTTATATTAAACCACATAATTGAAAGATTTTAATGTTTAGCAAGTAGACAGTATAACAATTCTTTGCTTTGTTGTTTAGCAAACACGAGGTGTTATTTCATTTATTTATTTACCTATAGGCTGACGTTTCGGCGGATTTCGCCTTCCTCAGAGCACGAAAGGGTCAAGTCAAGGTCAAGGACAAATTCAAAATGTCGAATCGGTAAAACGGCCAAAACGTCGGCTTGCGTGTAAGTAAAGCAAAATAACACCTCGTGTTTGCTAAACAAGAATACAAATTCTTCCCTCACTGCCGAGGTTAGTAGAAAGTCGGTCATGAAAAAATATAACAATTTGACTTTTCAATCTACACAACATGAAGCCCGATGCAATCAGCCGTTTCAAAAACTAATAACAACCTCGTATACAAACTCAGAAATCTCAGTAGCGCAATTAACTATAATTTTATTGGATCTGCCATCAACAGACCACATAACAGAATTTTACTTAACGCTAATATGATATATTGTTTGCGTTCGCGTCTGCCATAAAGATAGATTCCCTTCTCGAAAAAAAAAACCAAAAACGAAAAAAAAACAAAAAAGGATAACCATGAAGCAAACTGTATAAATTTGTATATTAGGTTGGTCACAAATTAATGTCACTTCTCTTACAAATGTTTCAGCAAGTTTTTTCTTCTTGATCGAATGCTGGCTATACTGCTATACAACAATGCAAAGCTAATTTCATGCGCTTTCGTCCCACAATTTTGAATTTTAAGATATCGTTCTTAACAAACTCTAAAGGAAAAATTTCAGATGTTAAGATAGAAATTTCTCCGAATCTATTTCCATGCAATCAAACTATGATGCACGTAGCGCAAAAGGCACTAATGAGGTATGAAGCCAAGAAAGTGTTAGAGAACGCAAAATGCAAAGTTGTCTTAAAAATTTCGTCGTGGAGAACTAGATGTTGAAGATTAGAGATGATACGCACGTCCTTCTCTTGCCGACGATGATGAAAAGTGCTGGTAGAAACACATGCACAACATCCACGACTACTCGAGAGTTTGTGGAAGAACTCAATGCAAGAATGTCAACTCTCTGCGACATATAAGAATAACTGGAAAGTGCAATAAGCTCGTCAAGTAGACGTAGAGGCAAGTGAATGATAATCAAACAATTCATCGTTTTGAGGTATCGTCGGCGCTTCTATGCAACCAGAGTGAACCATTTCTGGACCACATTATAACATGCAGCAAGAAATGGTTCCCCTACGATAACCAGCGACAATCGGCGATGAAGCTTCGCAGTACTTCCCAAAGCCGAAACTGCACCAAAACAAGCCAATATTGACTTTTTGGTAGCTTTCTGCTAGTTCGATCCACCACAGCATTCTTAATCCTAGAAAAACGATTAGGGTAGAGAAGTCACCTGCATCAACTGTCGTCCTGTTGATCGCCGAGTGATTCGAGTCGGCGCCACAGATCTTCCAATTCTGCCTGTCCAGTCTTGCTTGTGTCCACCAGGTCTCTGACGCATACGTTGCTAAAAGTTGCTGGGAGAAGTATGGAGTCAAAAAGATGAGCACGAAGCAGGGTGTTTTTTGTTCTCTTCATTGCATCTTCACCGCACTTAAAACCTCTCCTAGCCGCTTGGTTCCTTCTGCTCAATTGTAGGGCTAATTCATTCATTATGTTGATTTCCCGACTTAGATGGACGCTGCTGGAGCATTCGGAGATATTCGTTCCATTGAGCGTGAATGCAATATACGTTGCCAATCCATTCCTCATTAAAATCGTTTTGTGGGATTTAGTCGAAGACGAATCTTTCCAAAGACTTTATCAAAGTTAGCAAGCATTTGTTCCACTTGGCTAATGTTTGGTGTTATAAGAAAGATGTCATTAGCAAATCGAAGATGGTGTAATTGGCGACCAACGATTTTTACTCCCATGTTGGCGCATTCAAATGTTCGCATGTCGTTCTCCAGGACCGCGATAATTTCGGTGCGATACTATCGCTTGCCTGTGTTTTGACGTCGATATTAATTTCATAATAGAATGGTGATATTTCAATTATGGAATTTATCTATAGCTCATGAAGAATTGTCGTATACTGAGTAGAGATCATCCAGGGCCTTCATGACTGCTTCTATCTCAATTGATTCAAAGGCCTTCTTTAAATCGATGAAAATGCGGCAGAGCGGTCTTTTATATTTTCGCGATACTTCAGTGAGTCGTGTTACCGTGTGGATGTGGTCCTCGTACTAAATCCTTTTCGAAACCCTGCTTGCTCATATGGCTGTCCTTCGTCCAGTGTTCTGTAATCCTGTTTATGGTGACTCGCGTGAAAAGTTTGTAGACGACAGACAGTGAACAGATTGGGCGATTGTTGCAGATATCGTGGTGTTCACTATCCTTTAACAATAGCACGGTTTTGCTGATTTCCCACTGAAAAGGAACCTTACATTCTAACAGATAACACGTGAACAGCCATACTAGTGCGCTTACGAGGACTGCGGAAAGGTTCCTCAGGTGTTGAAATCCTATAATGTCCATACCAGGTGCGGTTCGATTAACCATCGACGAAATAGCATGTCGGATTTCGGAGCCAAAATCGGTGGGACCATATATACATAATTTATTTCATATAAAGACAGAGCGCGAGTACTAAAGGGATTCGAGTAGTAATTGTTAACGATTTTCTCTATCACCTTTTTGGAAGGTGTCACTGTTCAACCTGGATGTCGAAATGCAACCATCTTAGGTTTGTAACTGGTGAAGTTTCGGTGGGCTTTCTTAATGCTTTTCCCACTCTCTGTAGCTTCGACCATAGCACTTACTCTTCTCTAAGATTTCCTTCTATCCGCTTTCTGCATTGTTTGCAGGTTTGGACGTGAGATGGCGGTTGTTGGTAGCTAGTGCGATTCCATGTTGGCATATCAGCTCGTTGGAGAAGTACATTTTCCAAATCGACGAAGTGCACAAGGAACTTTAACGGCTGTGCCGCGTAGTGGTCAACAGAAAGCATCAGTGACGTATGATAATGTATGACCATATGTTGTACTTCCGACGCTGCAAAAGTTTAGAACGCATGAATACAAAACTCTTCCTCTTCTAAAATACCTATCAGATCTCTAAGTTGACTACAACTTCTTTAAGAATCTCGACAACCATATTTAGTAGAAGTACTCCTAGAAACTGCCTCCAAAAACTTCTTCGATTCTAGTACTACAGAACTTTAAGCAACTGGTATGTGTAAACCTGTTTCCCGTTGATGAAAATGTGTAGATTCTAATAGTTTTTGATTCTACCAGTAAATTTCATTCTGGCTAAAAAATTCCACTTTGAAAACACAAATTAAAATCCGACATCAATTTAGAAAAACCTGATTTATTAATTCTGAAATGAAACATCTATTACGAATTTCTCTTCACCTAACCCGTCTTTCACAACTACTATGCCGATCCCAGCAGTTCTCACACTCGATTCGACTCCTCGCATCCATGATCCAGGAAAGTTTTATAGCTTTCAACGTGTGTCATTGGGCTGATGTTTGAGGATATTCCATTCATAATGAATGTTGTTGAATGTTGGACAAGTTGTTCTCCCTGGAGTCCTGAGATTGCCGAGCTACACTGTTCCCACTTGGGTTACAGCGAGCGAAGTTTTCCCAGACAAACCCCGTACCAATTTCCTAATATCGGAGCGATGACAGGTTTGGTAAGCCCAGAGCGGGGTCGAACCAACACCGTGCTCACGAAAATCGGCATCACTACTATGTTACCCCTCATTACATCTTCGGGTTTTTTCAAACAGCATGTTAGACTTGTTTCAATCTCGTTGCATGGGTAGCCGCCTACGAGCATATTTACATAAACTTCTGTTGGTTCATGACATTCTTCTTCGGCATTAACTGTGTGAGGTTTGGAAATCGACGATGTTTTGGGGAGCTGCATCCACTTTCATATTCACTCTGTAGTGTTGTAGAGACACTACATTTTCTTGTCTCCAAGCGCCCATTTTTGTATCCACATATCCACGAAGAGATAGTAGGGATCGACTAGTCGCTTCCCCATCAAACTAATACAAGCGATTTGCTCGACACAAGACTTCATTCTTTCACGAAGTATGAGTGCACAAAATCTTTATTCATTTCTGCTTGGTCTAACTCTATCAATGGATCAATTCCCAAGATCAACTCTCTATTAACCCCGGTAATGGATTATAAATCTGTTATTCTCTTTTTTAGAGTTTTTGGTGCACTCATCAACTATATGCGACTCTGCGCGGTTCTTCTTCCTCGGTGGAAAGCAGGTAAAAACGGTGGGTTTTTCGAGAAGCCGGTGATCGCGTAATTATTGTTCAGATTTTCATCTTTCTGCCTGTGCTATTGACGAGTTTGACATAGCAAATTACTTATTAGTGCACCCTTCCAGGCTCTGAAGAAGGCGATACTGCTGAAACGTCAGCTTCTGTTGTGTTGTATGTGTTATATGCGTAAAGAAGTAAACGTGTGCTGAATAACAACCTCGAGATTCCTGTAAAAAACAGAACGACAAATCTATCAATGAACTTACGAAAATTCTATCTATTTCGGACTATGGTTTCACAGTATCAAACTCGTTAGCAACACACGTTAATCATATACTAATCGGTGTTGTCGAACTGCTGGCATATGTGCTGTCGCCAATTTTTTCTGGAGAAACGAAGTAGGTTGTTTCCGTAACACATTTATTGGCTTCGATATGCTTCTCACAGCTGGATTTTCAAGTAGCCAATACACGGCTATCACTGTTCTGCTGGATGTTGGGCAAATTCTCGATCAGCTGGTCTTTCATGTCTCTCTTCTTTTACGCCAATAAAGTCTTTCCTAACCCACACGAAACGCCTGTGGATCTGTGCAGTTATTTCACGACGAAAAGCAACCATGGCTCCGTGCATCAGACTACTGGAATCAATACTGCCTAGGTCACCAAAGTTCCATGTGGCCTCCATTTTATTTGCAGCATCTAGGTTCACATGTCTCCTTCCGGAAACCCATAGGAAGCACCAACGGTCAGACTGCATCATATTACCGCACATTCACCGGATCTCCAATTCTCTGGATGTAATTTGGTCAGTTTCTGCTGATGTCACAACAATCACGTCATTCATGGAGCCTTGTCTAGTAAAAAAGTGTGACGTTTTAAGAAAAAAGAAAACGAAAAAACGAAAAAAAGATATTGAGTACGAACGCAAAGTGTGACTTCACAATGAATTTAAGAAACCTGTCCCTTCAAAAACATTTTATCTCAAAACAAAAATAGACAAGAAAAAAGGAAAAGAGTATACCTGTTTTAAAAAGTATGGTCCTCCATAATTGACCATCCAATTGTATACAGGGCGCGCAATATTGGCCTGTGGATTGTCGGAATAAGTAAGGATATAATCTGAAAGCAAAGCAAGCTTGCTATTACGAAAACACTTATTTCGTAAATAATGGTTCAAGAACTCGAAAGGACTTCCTCTGTTATTTCTTAGTTATTACATGACCCGATATCGCAAGTATCACACTGTGTGGACCTCGGCACTGCTTCCATTTGATTCGTTTATTGCATCCACCATCCATGATGGTTTCCGAACCTTCTTGTTTGTGGGTTACACATTTCTATTTCGGGATTATCATCTTCTTTATGAATGTCGCTGTATGTTGGTCGAGTCGAATTTTCCTGGAATCTTGGGATCGTCGTGCTAGGACGTTCCCACGTTGATTGGAGCAAGTGGTTTTGTACCAAATAAGTCTCGTACTAATTTCCTGATCCCTGAGGAATGAGAGGTTTGATGGGCCCTGGATGGCGTCGAACCAGCACCTAGATGCGTTTTGCGTCCGTGTAGCTAACGGGAACACTACCATCCTGCTACTGGCTCATTTTTCCATCATATTAATTTACTACTAAAAATGTCAAACTATAAATGACTGACAGAGTTAATACCTCATAATGGTACGCTGACATGACTGAGTAATTTTGAGTAAAACTTCATGCTCTAGAGAACTCACCGTGTCTGACATTTCTATTACAACCTCTACGCAGCATCGAATATAGTTCATTACCAACTTAAAGAAAATACCCAACAATTAAAAAGAGCACTCACTTTGGAGTGGATACAAGTTGAAATTAAACATTCCAATACAAGTAACGTGTCGTTTTCTTGTTCAGCAATCGCGAGGTTTTTAAACAGCATACATTTACCTCCATAAAAAACACAATACAATACAACGCTAGCTGACGTTTCGGCACTATCGCCTTCTTCAGAGCCTGGAAGGGTATACTGATATACAACCTACTGGGCCAAACGCTTCAATAACACTTACAAAAAGACGAAAGACTCTTTGGTAATTACATGATCAACAACTTCTCGAAAAACTCTCCGCTTTTTTACATGACTTCCAATGGGGAAGTTTAGAACAGCTGATAATAATCGCATATGGTTGATGACTGCACCATTCCACATCAAAAATCGATGCGAACATACGGGGTCAGGTCGCATATTACCCCTGGGCATTCATCCCTGCTATTCATTGTAGAGTTTTTCCCATTTATCCAAAAAGCCTCAAGAAGTTTTCGAGCTGGTGTTTTAGTCTCCTGTGCAAAGATATTGACTTTTACTTCAAAATCGTCTCCGCTATGTTTCTGTATCCTATGCGTGCCTAGTGGGGTGCTTCGTCTTAGTTTTCGTTTGCCATCTAGGTGTTCTTCAAGAGGCGACGGCACTACCACCATCTCCTTTCCCTAAAACGTTTTTTAGACAGCAGGACCCCAACGATGGAGTTGACATAAAATTCCGCGTGTATTCGGACGGCGTTCTCAAGACACTTGATCACTACCGCGATAGAAAGTTTATCTCTAACCTTACAGCCGCACAAAAATGTGGCATGCGGGAAATTAGAGAATTAATAAACTCGAAAACAATAAGATTGTCTGTTAGTGATAAGGGGGGAGAGTTCGTAGTTATCCCTCGCCAGCTGGATGTTGAGATAACAGAGGAACATCTTAGTAATGCTACTCTCTATCGCCCATCCTCTGAAAAGGAATATAAAAGTCAATACCGAAAGCTAAACAATCAATGGGTCAGTGTGGCAAAGGCTGCGGGTTTAAAATCATCGGTTATTTCGCACTTTAAAACCGATAAACCAACATGTCCCGTCCTATACCTACTTATTAAAACACATAAGTTGGTATCACCTGATGATCATGCGTCAACCAATCCGTCATCATTTAAGGTTAGACCCATCATCAGCTGTGTAGACGGGCCAACGGATATAACAATCTGGTTTTTAAGCCCGATACTTACCCAGTTGCTTAACCACATTCCAGCTCACCTCACAAACACCCATATGTTCCTAGAACGTCTACGTAACACGTCTCCCAATAACGTGTATGTGATGGAGTCTTTCGACGTTACCGCGCTGTACACCAACGTATCGAATGACTCCGCAATGTAAGCCACCTTCGAACTTCTTGTTGAACATGAAGGAAGAATAAATATGCATGGCTTGTCCATCCAGCAGCTAATGGCTCTCTTAAAGGAGTGCCTAACCTGCTCGATTTTCAGATGGTCTGGGAAATATTTCGCGCAAATAAGAGGGTTGGCAATGGGACAGCGATTGGCACAAAGCCTTGCCATTGTGTTTATGTCTAAGATAGAAGCTCCTGTTCTCGATCTCCAGCCACTACTCTACTGCAGATATGTAGATGATTGTTTTGTCGTCTTCTCTACGCAGGAGGTGATGGACAAATGCTTTGAATTATTTAACGAGCAGTCCGAGTACATAAAGTCCACATGGGAGAAACCGAGAGAAAACTGGCTTCCGTTTTTGGACGTTCAAATAAACCTATCAAGTAGCGGTTACCTGACAAAGTGGTATCGAAAGCCAAGTAACAAGAACATTCTTGTTCATTTCCTTTCTTCCCACCCTTTACACACAAAGAGAGCGATTGTAAGAAACATGTTTCGAACAGCCACCTCTTTGTGCACTACCAGGGAACTAAAGGAAGAATCGCGCGACTTGGCTCGGTAAATAGCCATCTCCAATGGCTACGAAATAGTAATCCCACGAGATAAGTTTACAAGGAGAACGACGCGCCCACGCGAAACACTTGGCCAAAAGAAAGTCCCGTTCATGTTGCCTTTTATAAGCGATGAAGTAAGCGTAGCTATAAAATGATGCTTAAGAAGGGCAAGTCTAGAGGAATCGGTAGCGATAGTTGAAATACCACCGGCTACTCTACGTCGCCAATTAGTTCGCAACCGCCTATATGACCGTTTATGTGAAACAACAAATTGCGTATTTTGCCCTTACGGCAGGGACGGTGATTGCATGAGTTCAGGAACGATATACCTGATCTCTTGTAACAAATGCGGAGATGAATATATTTGCGAAACGGGCAGACCTTTGTGTATCCGTATAAAAGAACACCTAGATGGCAAACGAAAACTAAGACGAAGNGATTGCATGAGTTCAGGAACGATATACCTGATCTCTTGTAACAAATGCGGAGATGAATATATTTGCGAAACGGGCAGACCTTTGTGTATCCGTATAAAAGAACACCTAGATGGCAAACGAAAACTAAGATGAAGCACCCCACTACGCACGCATAGGATACAAAAGCATAGCGGAGACGATTTTGAAGTAAAAGTCAATATCCTTGCACAGGAGTCCAAAACACCATCGCGAAAACTCCTTGAGGCTTTTTGGATCAATTCTAAAGACCCTACAATGAATAGCAATGATGAATGCCCAGAGGTCATACGCGACCTGATCCCGTATATTCGCACCAATTTCTGATGTGGGTGCAGTCATCAAACATATGCGACTATAATCAGCTGTTCTAAACGTCCTCATTGGAAGTCCCTAGAAAGCGGTGAGTTTTTCGAGAAGCTGCTGACCATGTAATTACCGGAGAGTTTTTCGTCTTTTTGTGTTATTGAAGCGTTTGGCCTAGTAGATTGCATATCAGCATACCCTTCCAGGCTCTGAAGAAGGCGATACTGCCGAAACGTCAGCTAGCGTTGTATTGTATTGTGTTTTTATGGAAGTAAATGTATGCTGTTTAAAAACCTCGCGATTGCTGAACAAGAAAACGACACATTCATATTCCAATTCCGAGGTTAAGAAAAAGTCGATCCTGGGAACTATTACATGTAATATGGATTAATACTTAATCAAAATTGTACGAGTATGTTTATTTCACTTATACTTTCAATACAGGGATTTGACCAAAAAATTTGGTCAAATAAAAAAAAATTAAACCAAAAAATTTAAATTTGACCAACCTAAACCATGATCGTCGAACTCCTTATGCGATCGTACAGCCATTCGGGACCTGTACGTCGCCACTCGTATGTTTTTAGAGTCTCCTGGAACCAACTAAAAAAATACACATGAGTTGTGAAGGCAAAGAAAATCATTTTGATGAAACAAAGAAAATCAATCATGAAAATCATTTTGATGATCATCCTCACTGGCCTACAAAAAAAACCAGTACGGATAATGGTAAGACAAAGCTAATCGGCGTGAAAAATCTCCGATTTTTCGACATGAAATTTAACGATGAGCTTTCCGTTAGCATTATTATTAATTAATTAATGCACTACGTAGCACTTTAGGTGATTGTAATAAAAAAAGGGATAAAGCTCTCGGGGTTGATCAACCCTTGATGGATGCCACATGCATTCGACTTCATTAAGCACCGTCGGACACGATTGAATGCATATCTGGCCATTGCAATGACTCGCATGGCATACCGATGTATTGAGCTATTGCTGCTATCCTCCCAGACAAGTCTTATACCAATGTGCCAAACCCGGAGGGGTGGAAGGCTTGGTGAGCCTGTGGCGCCAAGATCGACCACGTGTGTATTGCACGGCGACTCCGACCACTGCGCTACACGTACCGCTGCAGTAATAAATAACAGAAAAGAACCAATTTCGCCCTAAAAAATGCTCTCGTGTTCCACAAGTAATGCCTCAAAAAGTGAACAGTACGAAAATTCCACGCGTTCGCCTTCCTAACCAGACTTACTACCAATCGTTGTTCAATTTGTTCAAATAACAAAGTTCTTTCCAGAGAACTTCTCTCGTGAGAAAACTCGAAAGTCAAGTGCATGGTTAGCTTATTTTATTTCGATTTATATCATTTATGGAAAAGAAAAAAAACAATAGGAAGCTATGCAAAACACGCTGAAAGAACAACACGTTTGGCAAGCCAAACGAAATCCATTTAAAGTCCGCAATTAAAATACATTAAGAGAAAATCCATGTCAGATATATTGACACTAATCCTTGAATGCATAAACTCACGTGAGCCGGAACAACTTCACTATCAACTACAAGCATTCGAGAATCATCGGAAATCCATGTCCTTCGAGTGTAAACGTACTCTCGTGGATGCAATGGATATGGGTATTTCTGAACCCAACGGATCAGCTAAAAAAAATCAATAAAAAATTAAACAATGTGATGCAGATATAGCATAATCCTATACATGAAGGAAGGAAAAACTAAGAAAAACGAAGAAAACAAATGTATTACACCTCATGTTCATCTTCTTCTTCTAACAACTCCAAAGCCATAACATTACGATCCCACTCTTTTCTATACGCAAGATCGTTTTGTACATCTGAACTTATATATACAGTCCGCATAAAAATAAAAACAACATCAGATAACAAACAATCTCTACACAATGTCGAAATAGTTAAAAAATCATTTTTGAGACATCCATATGAAGTCTAACATACAAACTGATTTAATTTCGGCATAGTTATGAAGTAAGAAACAAGAATAACGAATAGAAAGAAAGCCTTAAAGGATAAAGCTCTCGGCGTGGATCAATCTCTGAGAGATGCTCCATGCATTCGACATAATGCACCGTTGGAGGCGATTGAATGCATATGGAATGGAATGTAGCCAGTTCTGCTATCCTCCGAGACAAGTCTGGTTGCAATTTGCCGACCTCGGAAGGATGGAATAGTTGGTGAGCCTGGGACACGGGGATCGACCCCATGTGTATTGCAAGGCGACGGCGACCACTGAGCTATTTACGCCACGTAGAACGAAACGAACGAATAGAAATAGCAATGGTAAAACTTGCTTTGAAAAAAAGACTACTCACCAAGGAAAAAACTTGCGCTGATATCGTAATATGTTCCTGCACATTTATATTCGTACATCCCAGACTGACCAGGTATTAGTCTGAAAAAAGGTACTTTATTCGCATGGACACTGGAACATTTCTCACGAAATACCTTTCTAAAGCTATGATATTTGAGATTTTCCGTAATAAATAGATTTCCGTCGTCAAAAACTTGCCAGTTTTAAAGGAAATCTTCTTCTCAGATTCCCTCGTTGATATTCCCACCAATAGCAAACACCAAATTTGATGCAAGAAAAAGATAAATAAGAAAAAAGGAAGCTCTCGGTGCTGATCAATCAATGAGGGACGCGCCATGCATTTGACTTCATGAAACATCGTTACAGGTGATTGCATGCGTATCTGGCCCATATATTGACTCGTGGTAGCCTACCGATGTAACGATTCAGTGCTGCAATCCTTCCAGACAAGTCTGGTACCAATTTACCAACTCAGAGGGATGGAGAGCTTGGTGAGCCAAGGGCACGGGAATCATTTCCATATGTATTGCAGGGCGCCTCCGATCGTCGCGCTAGACGCGCCCGTAAGACAAAGATAAGAGGAAATATTCCAGATGATCTTTAAAGACAAGCAAGCGTATGTCGCACTCAAGATCTTTGTAACTGACATTATTTATCTCGAACAGATGCAACAAAACAAAGCCTATAAATAGTTTACCAAACCAAGAACGAAACTAACAAACCTTCTATAAACCTTCAAATCCTTCTCATTAACCAACGTTTCCCAACAACTTCCAAATTTTGCTTTGTCACCTAAAATTTACCTAAACATATAGGATAATAAGTGACGTTTTATTTAATTATCAGATGATCGTCTTGTTTTTCTGCGCTTTAGCACCTTTAGTCTGAAGCACACTACAAAAATTATAGAAGAATCTCACCAAACTCCTCGTCGAGCTTCGCTTTGTTGAATCGCCCAGAGGGAATTCCTATGAGAAACACCATGTAGTGAAAACAGTATATGAGATCTAAATTTGCTTCAGTATTCAAAACACTAATAAAGAACTAACCGTGTTCAGAAAAAGAAAATCCAGCAGTTGATGCAAACGCTAACAATATTCGCCTATCCCACCATCGTCGCCCACCTCTCTGATGATGATGATGATGATGATGATGATGATGATGGTGGTGATAAGATTTACTAGTATAGTGGGAAGTCTGACGATGCCAAGACGACCGACCAATCACCTGCGCAGGGGTAAGAAATCCAATATGAAGCCAAAATTGAGATGCTAATTCCTATACTAACGAAATAGATGTAGTTTCCTTACAATAAAAGACGATGTATGTTAACTACGGAGATTGAAGCTACAATCGAACTAGAACAAAACCTGTCTGATCTTCTCCAAAAAGCTGGCATACGATCGAAACATAATCATCATCACTCCGAAATCATAATCTTTAACAGAGAATGATTAGTTCTCATCGAGGATACACCATTGAAACCGGGCAGGGGTTAAGGTTTCAAAGAAAGCTTAACAACACCTTGTGCAAGTACGAAGAAAATCAATAAAGCAAATTTCTTCGCTAATTAAGGCAAATATAATAAGTGACCATATGTAACACACAGAAAGTAGGCACGAAAAATACAAGATAAACGTTTATTCTTGGAAAGTCTCTAATATAAAGTGTCACAATTTGACATTATCTGTCTTGGCTAACAAACCGATAACGACCTTAAGGCCTTAACCGACATATCACACTGAGCTCGACCAGGAAACCACATTAATGATTGGACAGTGGTCTAGCAATATAATGGAGCACAAGGTGATGGTTAACTTACAGAGAACCAGTCTGATATCACTATTAAAAGTTCATATTCACACGAAAACTATAAAAATATTATACAGTTGAGAGAGTATAACTTTGAACAGGTAAACAAAGTGCCTAGATAGCACTGAAGGGAAAAAGTTACCTTTACTACGCCAAAGTAATGGTAACTTAAATCTTTCATAAGGTTGCTATAAGATCCATAAAGATCCTTTCGTGAGATCCATAAACGACAACTTGTATCCAGAACAAACAGTTATTGTACAGCTTCTGCTCACCGTTACTGGATTGAATCACTCTAAGCAAAGTTATTACCTAAAATAAGCACTTAATTTGAAAGACGAAATCTGGTTAACGACAAGCTTCAAGACCATGGCGAGACAAAAAAGTGGAAGGAACACGCTGAGCGATAGTTTAACTGCCTTGTGGTGGTACTAAAACCAATCATTGATCGCTAGATATCGACTGCACTAAGCAAACAATTGATACTCAGCGCTTACAAGTTGTGGTCCTTTGTGGTCCCGATTTCAAATGGTTCGTTAAGATATGAAATTCCTACTCAGCCTATCTAAGACACATCTTTCCTTTCACGTTGCAAATAACGACTCATCCATTAAAATACAAACAAAGTAATCAATGCAACCACTTTTTATTTACTGCCTATCCTTTTTTTTCATGGCAGGATATAATGTAAAATACAGCTGTAATGATGCTGAGATATTTGCAAAATACAGGACCGCAGGTGTTTGTAGTGAGGATGGAGCCCCTAGTGCCCTTTCCGGGAGCTAACGTTCACCAACACACCATAGAGGTCCTTCATTTCGCCTTTCACTGCTGTTAATGGTCAACAAAGCAATCAGTGTTGCTATCGGTGCAGAATACAGACATCCAAATGTGATCGATAAAAATTTGTTCAACATCCAAGTATTAGCTTTTTACGGTGGTCCATAAACCCCAATTTTTTTTTAAAAATTTGAGTGCAAGGCTTTCTTTAGGTAGGGTTGCAATTCGAAAAACTACCAATAAACAGGGCGCGTGTAGCGCAGTGGCCAGAGACGCCGCGTAATACAAACGAAATCGCTCCCGGCGCCCCAGGCTCACCAAGCCTTCCACCCCTCTAGATTCGGCAAATTGGTACCAGACTTATCTGAGAGGATAGCAGCACTGACTGCATACATCGGTAGGTCACCGCGAGTCATTGTAAAGGCCAGGTATGCATTCAATCACCTCCAACGGTGCTTAATGAAGGTGAATACATGGCGCATCCTTCAGGGATTGATCAAAGCCGAATGCTTTACCCTTTATCCTTTTGCCAACAAGGAAAAAGGTGTTACCAACCATAAATATGAAAGTTCGAGAAACCAAGCCGCCCTATATACGACAGTTGTCGTTCCAGAGAATGAATATTAATACTAGACGACTTCAATAAGGAACAGCCATTAAAAACCAGGACATAAACAAGGACGAAGGAGGACGAAGGACAGGATAACAACAGCTCTGTTTGAAAACTACTCAAACACTCATCCTTTACAGTACTTTCTCAATAAAGATGATCAAAGGCTTGTCAAGGATATGAAATGCTTCTAGACATACCTGGAATAATGGTCTCGATGTATTGCAGCAATGGCTTTAACTGTTCTCGAAGTTTCAAAAGGTTGCCAGTGTTAGCGGATGGAACAGCCACTACGAAAACCGTAAATGGTGGAACATTCAGAATGACAAGTTGGCTATTTTCGTAAAAGAACACGGAAGCAAGGTGAGGACCTGGAAAACAAGAGGGACTTGAAAATGTGTGAACCGAAATTTGATTGCTAATAATAGGAGCCAATGGTAAAAAAAACCAAGAAAAATAATATTTTTTTTCGAGTAAAATATTGTACCTCCTAACGGTTTAACGCCTTATCGTGGCTGGAAGTTGTTCCTGGGTGTCGGGCTGCGATACACAGCGCGAGTTCATCCCCAGAACGACCTCCCAAGCTGAGAACAAGTCGTGTTTTCCATCAAGTAGCCCAACTAAGAGTAAACCAATATCAGGATCTGTCAAATTAGCCGCACAGTGGCAAATCCCCCTCTGATCCACAAGGGCGATGACCTGGGGCAGACTTTGGCTAGGCTGACCTCAGGGCTCCTGGAAACCACAATAGCTAAACCAGCAACACTCGTAAAAGTGGAAATTATCCTGGGGGCTCGCACAACCAGTTAAGACGGGTGAACCAAGCATCCAATTAAATAGGTAAAATATTAAAAAAGAGTTGTGCTATGGAGTAAAAAAAAACTGAAATTAACGCAACGAATGAGACAAATTAAAGTTAAGAATGTTAACAAATTAAACAACTAAGCACCAATGAACCAACAGTTAAAAAATATAACAATTGAAGGAGAACGAATAACATTTCAAGCTCCAACTGAATTTGGCATCATCAAATAAAAACTATATATTACTGAAATGACTTTAACCCCTACCCATAACCAGCTTTCCAGTTTGATCTTGAGTGGCTTGTAGGCTGGACACCAACGAAGCTCTGGACCGTAATTCCTCCCCTGAACATAAACAAACTTCAAAGATCCAAGTGCAAGAAAATTTGGAATCAGTTTAGAACTAAAAAAAAAAGAGGGTGATTCCTGATGGCACTGGTTGATAGAAAAGTAGCTGAAAGAAAAACGAAACGAAAAACCCGCAAAATGTAGTGGTGAACACGTGAACCCCCCGAAAAGGTAACGGTGTGTTTGATCGTCATCTCAGACACCTGCGGTCCGGAGTTTTGGAAATATCTCAGCTTCATTTTGGCTGTGTCTCACGTAATTCCCTGCCGTGAAAAAATGTAGCAGGCAGAAACTAAAAAGTTAATATTGGAACAACAGCATTTTAATGATGGAATACGACGAGTCTGCCATTAGCAAGAAACTGTAATATCATCAGAACCGAGAATGATCAATGCACATGGCGGTTCATGCAAAGTACTTTCTTAATACAGTTCTTAGAAAAAACTTTCTACACCATATAATTAGATACCCATCATAATAAGTTCTATAAGAACTTATCTAACATGACCTGAAGCGCATTTATTGTATATACAACTTAACTGAACTGATATATTCGTTTTAACTACCAATCTCAAATCTAAACAAAGAGTCTTAGCTCTGGACTTAAAAAGTTTCCACAGGGTAGATAACTGATCACTACTTCTTTAAAGATGTTCTGCCTACGTATTTACGAAAGTTATCACTACTGCGGCATGCACGATCCGGATCTACCTAATGAACACTGAAACGACTTCCACTGTAATATAGCCCTTTGGAAAGTAACAAATAGATAAAAGGAGAAAGGATAAAGCTATCGGCGTTGATCAATCCCAGAGGGATGCGCCATGCATTCGACTTCGTCAAGTATCGTTGGAAGTGATCGAATGCATATCCGACTCCTACAATGACCCTTGGTGCCCTACCGATGTATCCAATCAGTATTGCTATATTTCCAGACAAGTCTGGCACCAATTTGTCGACCCCGGAGGGATGAAGGTCTTAGTGGAGCAAAGGCGCGGGAATCGATCCCATTTGTATTGCAGAGCGCCTCTGACCACTGCGCCACACGCGCTTTCTGTACAACATAACATAGTATAACTCGCTCCATGTTAGACAATGCCGTTAAACTTTAATATGAGAATGAACACGTCGCTTACATGCTGACTGGTTTTGGTTCTATTTACATGGCCACCTTGTAGTTTTTACTGAGATTCTTTTACAACATAACAAAAAAAAATAGTAGCCATTTACCCCAACGACAGACTTTCATTTAACCTCGGCACTGATCGAATACATCAGCGTTCTCTTGTTGGGTAAACAAGAACCTCTCTGTTTGGTTATGGAGGTGTTGAACTGTGTATATTGTTGTTAACTTGACCTTTCCAGGCTACGAGGAAGCTAACAACCTCTGGTTTTGTCATCAAGAGAACAGTGAATTAGACGCTTAGTTGTAGAATTCCCGACGACGGCATTGCCTTTTGCTCAGAATTACGAAAATTATCATAAAATATCTGTAAATCCTTTATTTTCGTTGAGAAAACACGAGGATTTATTTCTTTATTTACAAATAAGCTGACGTTTCGGCGGGTTTCGCGCTCCTCAGAGCCTGGAAAGGTCAAGATGACCGCAATCTACCCAACCAAACAAGAATTGCTCAACAGTTTGCTCAACAAGAATATAAAGATTTCTTTGATCAATGCAGTGGTTAATGGAAAGTCGGTTTGTCGAGTTATCTGGAGATTCTTCTCGTTTGCGGGATAGGATCACTTAGGAAGCTATTCCATTGTGGATGTGAATAACGACTATTTCGTGGACAATGAACTCACGACTCAGATTGCACAAGGATCTCATCCGTGATAATGAAACAGATCGCTAAATTGCTTAGCTAAACTTAGATTACACACTTCACTAACCACCTTTACTAATGGCTGAATAGCTTGGGATATATGGACACTGAAGAGAAACCCAACTATAAGTGTACAGTAAGCTAGTTGAACTAACTAGTTGTACCATCACTCACCAACACTCAATACTATGACTCCATCACGATCTGTGAGGAAAATCGTGTTCGTCCCTGGTATACTATCCAGGATTTGTCGCAAGGATTTCTCTATCTCGATCATAGAACGACGGAAATCTGAACGGATCACTAAGAATCGACAAAACTTTCTGTTCTTCAAAAATAGCTTTATAGAACGGGAGAAATCCGAACAGATCACTAGGAATTGATGAAGCTTCGTTCGTTTAGCGTAATAGAACAGTAGGAACCTGGATGGACAACTAGGAATCGATGGGTTCTCATTGAGATTGGTAGTTAAAACGGGTTCTTCAGAAAGAGCTCAGTCAGCAGGACGCACTTTCTGAGAAAAGATTGCACAGAGCTAGTACGTTATGGTACTTGTATGCCCTACAAACATGCTCTAGTGATCACCTTTCTTCGAACACAGCAAAGTTCTTAGTAGGAGAAAAACGAAAGAAATATTCAGAACGAAACCAGCAGTACTTACGCGGACTTGAAAGAATGTTTAAGCATTCGAAGTAAAGGCAAGGCTTTGGCCCATGAATAGCCAGTAGTCAATCGATAGAGATATAAAGCTCATTTTTACTATACAAGAAAAGGGATACACATCTAAATATTACTATACACTGGGAACACGTCTGATTATGAATTCATTAGCAAAGTAAGATCGATATCCCAACTACGCAGGTCAAGACAAGGGCCTTGGGTGTCGTATTACACGCATACACACACGCACATCCACACACATACATATACACACAAGGTATAACATGATCAACTCATGAACAAGAGAAAGCCGAAACGAATGACGCGCATGATCTGGTGAACACGTCAACCCACGGAAAGGGTAACAGCGTGTACGATCCCCACAGCAGACACATGAGGTCCGGAGTTTTGCAAATATCCCAGCCTCATTGTAGTTATACGACCAACTTTTTAAAACTGAACTACCAACAACAAGTAATCTCTCTACACAGTTCCTTTACTGAACATCTATCGGGTCCAAGCCCAAAGAAATGAATGACACATCGCTTCATTGGAAATATGACAGATTCTGAACTGATCGATACAAATATTCCATTTCGTCCACTTCGCAGCCCATCTGTGGTCAGGACATTCCTTTTCAGCTTCCATTTTCTTCAAGAGTTTTATTCATCAAGCACTTATTTCTTGCCTATCAAGAAACGTAAACTTGGATATCTGAACAATGAGTCTATGACAGACATGGAATCGCATAGCACACTGATGAGGATGGATATTTGGAAATATTCACATTAAAGGTAATTGTACAAGCATACAAAATCATTATTATACACATATAATAACTGCTGGACCTTGAAGAATCGAAAATGAACTACTTCTACAAACCGAAATTCTTCTAACCTTAAACATCAGAGTAATCCTAAGTACTGAGCCTTGGCCGGAGATGTTAGGTTAAGATTTTCTATTAAAATAATAGTTTGCACTGCCTGTACTGTAAAAATCCTGATTGATGAGATCAGTTTCAATAAGTGTTCAACAGAAAGAAAAGAGAATTTTCTCAAAAGAAGAGAAAGAAGAAAGACTGCTTTGAAATCTTCATAACGAAGTTTTTTGATATGAAAACTGCTACAGTGAAGATGAAAGAATAGTAATCACAGACTTAGAGAATCATAATCGTCATTGTTAATGGTCATTTATCAAACAGATGGTCCTGGAAGATGAGTCGCACGTAGGGCTTCTCGGTTGCAAGAAGTGTTGTGCAAAACGGACATACAGGATGAAAACTGTTCGTGCCATGAGGAAGTGGAATTCGCGACCAAAACCTAAACTAACAGTATAACCCTGATAAAAAGAGAGGCAATACTCCGAAAAAGTAACAAAACACGAATTGCTACAATTCGACAAGGGAGGAAATGCCCCGACTTGTCTGTTGAAGGATGACTACAAACTTTATCGTGTAGAAAAACCAACGTAACCTCAATTGAGGTGTGTTTATTATGCATTCACCTGACAGTATTAAGACTCGCTACGTGTCCGCATGGATTAAACGCGTGATCAAGATTTCCCGAGTCCAAGTGGAAAGATGATTCCATACCCATTGTTAGCTGAAAATGACTTTCTAAAAGCCGATAAGTATCAATTAGGACTGTTACTTACTAGGACATTTGGACGGCCCGTTTTCATTGGTTGTGCGGATCCCAGAATAATTTCCAGTTTTTCGTAGTTTTGCTAGCTTAGCGATTGCGGTCCCCTGGAGTCCCGAGGCCAACATAGCCAGAGTCTGCCCCGTATCGTCACCACCACAGGCAGTCGCCGCCGTTGTGAATTAAAGGAAGATTTCTCACTATGCGACTTATTTGATACCAGGGCGGTGGTAGATCCTGGTATTGGTTTAATCTTAGCTTCTTGGGCTTCCTGGTGGAAACGTCGGACTCCTTCTCAGCTTTAGAGGTCCTGCTGGGGAGCGAATCCCTCTGCTCTACATCGCAACCCGACACCCGGGAATACCTCCCAGCCACGTTGAGCAGGCAAACTGTTGGGAGGAATTAGGACTGTTACAAGAAATTAGTACTATCTTATACGATAAACAATAGACTCCTAAGGATAAGTACAAAGCTTCAAAAGTTCAAATATATGCCTAAAGTCAATACGCTCACCTGAATTACTCGCTCACTTTCAGCTAAACATATAGGACATTTATAGGACTGTTGACCATTCGATGACGCGTGATATCCCCATTCATGCTTACCTTGCACATGCCCACATCGCAGATAGACCTAAATTTGTACCTTAAATAGGAAATGCTAGTAAGATATTATGTAGGATATATTAAACCCGAAATTTACTATCCGCCTAAATTACACTGGATTTCTTGATAAATGCCTTCATGTCTCCAAAAATAAAATTTGAAGTAACGGAAAACTCACATACGGTTGCCTACTTCCACCGCCCTTTGAGCTCTTTCTCTTCGGGATAATAAGAGTATTCAAATTTACTGGACATTGTGGTTTTCCTGCATTTAATCTGTCCAATGCCATTTCTAATTCTTGGGCGGTTGGGGATTTCCTTAGACCATCCGCTGTTCTCCATAACAGTGTAGCACCACAGAGATCAATTAGAGAACCATCCTGAGAGAAAGAGAAAGATATAAATCACCAAAACAAAGAACTATTAAGCTGACACGCTCACATATCCATAGCCTAAAATCTCGTTCGGTTAACCTACGAGGTTAAAAAGGACAGTACAGCTTACTTGTAACATATTTGTTTCTTCTGGAACCAATTTTCCTCTAGTGTTACTACTACGGGTCTCTCGTAATGTATAGATGTCACCATCGACAGAAACTTCTCTCCATACATACATTGAAGGAAGGTCATCATCCAAGATCTCCTATAAGAATCGATCAATAAAGTACTATCAAACGCAAAGACAGACTTTGTCATTTAGTTCCAAACTAGAGCTTCCAAGGAAAAACAATCTTCCACTATTCTTAACTCAACAAAGCATTTGATTTGAACAATAAACAAATAATAACCAGAAGAACATATTACGGAGAATCCTTTGACAGAACTTTTTTAACACCTTATATAAACGGAAAAAAAAGAAAAAAAGTGTAAACAATCGATTTACTTCTATTGCTCAGCAGCTAGCGCAACTGTTTTTCACTTAGTGATGGGACGGACCCTTCTTTATAAAGAAATCCCTTTTCTATGCAAAAGCTAATAAGTGATTCACGAAATCACATCATAAGGTGTATTCTGGACTGATGGTACCGTTATTTAAAGTCACAACCATGTACCAACTTGACCTTTCCAGGCCCTAAGGCGAAATCCGCCGAAACGTCAGCTTGTTCGTAAATAAATAAAATGACATCTCACGTTTGCTCAACAAGAATATAAAGAACTGTTCGATCAATGCCGTGGTTAATAGAAAGTCGGCCGTGGGAATGACAATCATTCCACTTCACTCTCTGTTATCTTCCAATCACTCATACCATACATATACCGCTATCTCAGCTGTTTTTAGTCGTCATCCAGAGAGCAACATAATAAATAGTTAGCTAAAACAAATTAGCCAAACATAATACATAATATTAGCTAAATAATAAAACTAGCAGAGAGACAGGCGAAACGAACGACACGAATGATGTTGTGGTGAACGCGTTAAACTTCGAAAAGGGCCGAAAATACTCGTTCCTTCCCAACCACAGACACCTGCACTCCGGTGTTTTGCAAATGTCTCAGCATCATTATAATAAATAATACTTCAGCCGTTTAGTAGAAGACTTCCATTATGATAGGAACATGTTAAAGAACATTCACCAACGAAAACCCCACAGTTTCTAAAAAAGTTGTCGTTCGGTTCTGAAATCGAATTCATTCATCCATATAAACTTACCCGTAAAATACGTGCTATCAAATAACAGAAGACATAAAAAATGGTCACTATGTGTCTTAAAAGTGTCAAAAAACAGTGTTTATTAAACAATGACTAAGAAAAAAGCTACCAACGGAAAAGTTAACTTTAAAGCCAACCTTACCGAAAGGTAATAAATAGTAAGTAAAATGCTTACTTTTCATTTGTTATCATACTACCTTTCGATGCCCTGAAGAAGGAACATAATGAAAAATTTTTTCAAGATGTGAGACTCTACACAGTAAGATTCGCCTACCTCAGAATTCCTATTAGGGTGCAATATCAGTATCCCGTTAGTGGTTAACCCATCCATTTCACCATTCTTCTTCACCCACTTCGTTGCTTTTTCCTCCAATGAAACAATCATGAAGTCTCTCGACAGTGCGAGTGACAAACAAATGATCTCTACAAATGACTACTTACTCCAAGGAAGATGTTCTTCACAGAGTCAAATCCAGCAGCGTAGAGGAAAGCTTTATCGTAGTTCTCGCGATCGACTATGATTCGACAGGCATAACGACTAATAGTTGAGGAAACCATCTTATGGTGATCGCATCCGGCACGAGTTCTTGACGGACCAGAAGCACCTTCAAGTTCCAAATAGCAAGCACTTCAAGTCCATAATGTAAACAGGTAAGCTGTGGTTCACGTCAAGGCCGAATTAATAAAATAAAAAGTCGGGAAAGCGAAAATGACTGAAAGGAGATAGAGGTAGTCGTAAAAGGCAAAATTTAAACGATAGAAGAAAACATCTTCTTAGAAACCAACTAACAATGAAATATGGCACCTGAAGATGACGCGAGTTGTGAACCGGAAGCGAGCCATGTATCCACAATAGTGAAGTCTATTTGTTCTTCCGAAGAACGACCAATCTACAACAAATGAAAGTAGTAGAGAAGATGTGGTTCTCCAAAGAGTAGTAATTTATCATAAACTTAAAACCAACTTGGAACATGTCCTTGAACTGATCGGCCACATATTCAACAAGAACCGTCTGATTTTTCCCGTATGAATACGAAACAACATGACGATTCTTATCCAAAACTGCCTATACGATTCCAATATTTACTACATTTTTATACGTAAAACCAACCGATAACTATGAAAAAAGAAGTGCTAGAAAATGAGCCTATAAAGCTAAGATAAGAACTGTTTACCGGCGCATCCTTTGCCGCTACATTCACTTGTGATACGGGTCCTTTCTTGATGCCATTGCCAACTTTCCTCCGCATAAGGGCCATCTTTGTGCGGTGTCGTTTTAGCGATACAGATGCCTTACTATCTTGACTGCCATTATAGCTATAAAGGAACGAATTTCCTTTCCAGTAAACAACAAGGTCACAATTTGACCAGGAACAACATTGAACAATAGGCAGCGTATTTAGGCTGAATTAACCATGAGAAATTTGCTACTTTGTCGCTCTCAGCTGACCTCTATTAAGACGAAATAATTTCTGTTCCCCTTATCAACAGAATGGTGTATGTAATGCAGTGGTCTGAGGCGCCATCCAATACACGCCGGACCGATCCCCGCGCCCATGGCCCACCAAGCCCTCCGTGCCCCATGAGTCGGCAAGGTACCAGGCTTTTTTGGAGGACAGCAGCAGTGGCTCGATACAACGGTAGGCCACCGCGAGTCATTGTAAAGGCCAGATATCCATTCATTTACCTCCAAACGATGCTTAATGAAGTTGAATGCACGGCGCATTCCTGAGGGATTGATCAACGTCGAGAGCTTAATTCTTTATCCCATTTAAACAACATATTATTGATGACCTAAGAAACAACCCACTATAAAACGTTGGACACCCCTTCATGTAGATCATATGATATTTTGAACCAAACCGAACTTTAATAGTTCCGGACATCAAATTTTCGTTAAAGTACGACGCACTTTGTATTCATACTTCAACTTTTCACTCCAAGCATAGAGTACAATAAAACCCTTTTAAAATAGAACAGAGCCACCTAGTAACTACAAGAACTCACCCGAGCAGTACCAGTTCACCATATTTACCGTCGTCGTCGTCAAAATGATTGGAAGCCATTAAACCCTCGGATTTATCCCTGGCCATTACATGAGCATTCTCTATGTCACGAGAATCTATGGATATGCAGTCACGGTCATCAATACTCATCTGAAAACGGGACAAAATGTGGAATAATGGATATCTAGCAATGAAATGTTTAACGATTTGCGACTCATTAGTAACAATTCGACTAACGATCGATCATCGATTCAACGGTCTTGCTGAGGTAATGTTCAATGTAAATGTAACTGCATAGAATATGAATGAACAACAGTCCTAGGCACAGGAAGAGATACATGAGTGGGAAAACATCAGCAAGAGGCACTAAAAAACCAGAGCATACTTCATTCACATTGACAGAAGTAAAAATCATTAAAATTAAGGTAAGGAAACAAATCTTGAAAGGTCTAAGAAGTATAGAGACAAATCTTAAGGATATGGTTACACCTAGCGTTCGCAAGCTAGACGTGCAAGACTGAAGTATCAAAGAGAAGTCAAGAGAAGATATATAGGGGAACTGGACTCTGTTCTACATACAGAACCATTACTGAAGATCGTAATAGTCCAGGAGTAGTGAGTAATAAAGATTTAACAAGAAACAAGGATAGAAATGGTAAGGCACAAAGTAAGTACTATGAGCGAGTACTAAAAGTACACCTTGTTCAGAAAACAGTTAAAAAATGATGAACCTATGAGTCATGCTTGTTCATAAGGAAAACATATACGCATTGATTTCTCGAAAATTCAGTTAAAAATATTTCAGTGGGAAAGTACTGTGTGGTACTGTGAATACGACTTACGTTCAAAGAATAGAGTCCAAAAAAATTTCAGGTACTGAACTCACCATTTGCAGTACTACCAAGTTTATTGATGTAAATTAAATCCAGATTTTCAGCCCAGGAAGTCTGATTAGTAAGATCTTATTTGTAAGTCTAACGAGATATTTGAAGTGGGGCGCGAAACAACTAGTGGAGTGGCGCGAATAACGAGTAGGTACGTTCCCCAACCACAACGGCTTCACCCTTAGGCTTAACGAACGTCCTCTCTCATCTTTTCGAGGTCATTCAATCATCACAACGTCCATATGCAAATAAAAAAATATGCACTCGTCTGTTCAGCTGTCCGCCGTATGTCCTTGGTACAAATCCCGTTCATTCCGATCCGTTAACTACCCCAGCGAATATTCCTTGAAAAGGACACAAAGGCGCTGCTGGCGTTGCACCTCATCCAATCTGTTCACTATTCATGTAGCTGATATTAATGAATAATGGTAGCTATCTCTAGATGAGGCACATATAGCGCTGTGATTAGAGGTGCCCTGCAACTCACGTGGTCGTTGGTCCGATCTCGTGTCCTGCGGTCACAAAGCATTCCATCCCTACGGGATCGGCAAATTACTACCAGACCTGTCTGGGAGGATAGCAGTACTGATCCGATAATCGGTAGGCTACTGCGAGTCATTGCATAGGCCATATATCCATTCAGTCAGGTAACCTCAAAACATATAGTAAAAAACGTCTTTTTTGCAAGCGAAAGGGAATAAGACCATAGAAGAGTATGTACACAATGTTAGGATATAATAATGTATTTTAATATATATATCAGTATATTACATAATATTCCTCCAACGGTTTACCGCCTCATCGTGGCTGGAAAGTGTTCCTGTGTGTGGGGTTGCGATGCACAGCGGGGTTTTATCACCAACATGGCCTCCCAAGCTGAGAAGTCCGGCGTTTCCATCTGGAAGCCCAGCTAATAGTAAACCAATACCAGGATCCACCACCATCCTGGTATAAAGCTAGTCACATGGTGGCAAATCTCCCTCTTATCCACAAGGCCGACGACTGCCTCTGTGGTGGTGAAGACCTGGGGCAGACTTCGGCCAGGCTCACCTAGGAACTCCAGCAAACCGCAATGGCTAACGCAGGAAAACTCCGAAAAAGTGGAAATTATGCTGAAGCCTGCACAATCTGTTATGCTGCAGAGACGTGGGCTGATACTTCAACTACGTCAAGAATGCTTCGAACTACTCATAGAGCGCTTGAACGATGTCTTCTGAAATATAAGCGGCAATATGTAGCCGGAATGAGAAGCTCTGACCTTTGAAATCTGTCACTTCTTACATCGATAGCGAAACATAGATGGACCAGTCACATAATGAGAAGAACAGACGACAGATGGACGAAAAGAACAGTAAAGTGGGCTCCAAGAGAATGCAAACGTCCCCTTCGACAATCACCTACACGTTGGGCGGACGTGTTCGTAAACAAGGTTAACCAAGTTAATCAGCTATACCCGCAGCTGCAGTTGTTTTACAGATAACGGTATGAGACTCGCAAGTGCTACAATGCTCGAAGAAGACCACCACCATGGACTACGATTGCGAGAGAAAGGAACGAATGGCATATGTGCTGAGGTCCGCACAGCTCGTGACCATCCAAGTAAGTAGGTAAGATTAGAATCTGGCATGGGGTCTGAGTTCTGCAAATATCTCAACATCATTGTGCTTGTGCACAGTATTGTTTTCTACATATCGGTACGTATGAATCGATATCAGTGCATAACATTTTCGACCTACCTTGTCAGCAAAAGGTCTAGCTGTACTTTTTGTCTTCATTCGACGGTTTATTAAACAACTTAATAACTTACAAAAAGAAACTTCTTTCGAACGCACCTTTCAATGGATACACTGCGTGACGAAAAACCAGGTGTAGTCCTCAGGAGGTCGCCACATTAAATTAGGTCAGCTGGAGTACTTAACCCAACCCAATAACCCAAAATGTTGTCTAGACCCATAAACAAATCGATACACCAACCTTATGATCATAAAGCAAAATAAAAGTAAAAGTAGCAAGAATTCAATGAAAGATATTTTCAGTAAAACTGCTTCTAGTGAATGGGAACACAACCTTAACTAAGAACTTAGTATGCTGTTTAGAACATGAAACCTTAATATTCTTAAGTACAAGAATGAAAAGGATACTCTGACGAGTTTTGGTTGTGATTTACGTAGTTGTGGTGGCGGTGGCGTCAAGTGTTTTAACCAGATGTTTAATAGTCGTATCGTCGAGCTAATAACCCTAACAGTAATGACAACACAGAAGGCAGAAGGAAGGAAAGACATCTGGACATGCGAAGGTTAACCTCAACCCCTATGAGGTCAAGAGCAGTAGACGATCGACTAATTTTCGTGCCAAGACCTACATGATAGGATTCGCGAAGCGTCATAATAACCACTCGAATACTGGTTGGATAAAAAAAATGTGACCAGTATTTGGGTTTCAAAACGATTAATTTGATAAAAAATAATTCGACGTCATTCAATAAATTTAGAGATTGATAGCTTAGTAGCAAGAGAAGAGTAAAAGTGTTCGGTGTTGATCGATCCTTGAGAGATGAGCCACACACTGGACTTCATCAGCTATCGCTAAATGTGACTGAATACATGTCTGGTCTCTATGGTGACTTGTGGTCGCTTTCCGATGTATTAAGTCAACAGTGCCATCCTTCCAGACAAATCTGGTTCCAAGTTGCTGATTCTGGAAGGAAAGAAAGCATGACAAATCTGGAGCGTGGGTTCGAACTAATGACCAACTCGATGTTTTTTCTTCAATGTGCAGACAGTAGGTTGTTATTATAGAATTTATTAGGATACAATAGCCGACGTTTCGGCGGTTTCGCCTTCTTCAGAGCCTGGAAAGGTCAAATTGGGATGCGATCTACCCAACCAAACACTTTCATAACCCCAACAGATAAAACTTCACAAATAAATTTGTATTCGCATAGGAAACAGCTTCATTTAAACACCTACCGTTTATTTGTTGTAAGTATTTAAGTTAGTCGGTGGATAGCAGCCGCACAGAGTAATACATGGGCCGAGGACTGTGCGTCAGGTCATTGGATTAGCCTGAGGTATGGCGCCAGGTCGTGCGTAATGATCGATGCTTAATGTTATTTTTGCTCGAACTGAAAAAAAACAGTTTATGAAAGTTTTTGTTATCGCTTTAATCTGTCGATTAAAAATCTGTGCCTGAACTCATAATTGTACAAAAGACAGACAAGTCTGGTACCACTTAAAAGGAAGTATCGAAGGGATGGCGCAGTGGTCGGAGGCGCCCTGCAACACACACGTGGAATCGATCCCCACGCCCAAGGCTCACCAAGCTTCATCCTCCGAGGTCAGCAAATTGGTACCAGGCTTCTCTAGAAAGATAGCAGCACTGGCTCGATACATCGGTAGGCTACCGCGAGTCACTGTAAAGGCCAGATATGCATTCAGTCATCTCGAAACGATGCTTAATGAAGTTGAATGCACGGCGCATCCCTCAGAGATTGATCAACGCCAA